AAACTGTTAGGAATATTTTGACTATTACAAAATTCAGCTGTTCCTCTGACACTCTTTTCCTTCAAAATGTTAGAGAAAAGATCAAGGAAATTACTGCTCCAAGAATATCTACCTGTTTCTGATATATCATAACAGGTTTAAGTAGGTCATGCCTGCATGCAGCTCTCATGAGCTGAGTGTGACTCTGGTATGTCTAGCACCTTGCTTGTTCCGTCAGAGTGTCTGGGTGACTCTCTGTGATACTCCACTGACAGGCTTCAAAAAAATCTTCTTAACTATGAGTTGATGGAATTTACAGATATTTTGTCCTATTCCAGTCTTTGGAGATCTGATTGCACACTTGAATTCTGACAGGCTCACTTAAATGCTTACTGAAAAATGTCAATGTCTTTTGGTTCAATTAAGCCATATTTTTCCCTCTGGTCCTTATGTCAGATCCCAGTGAGAAAAGAATGCAAGAATTATTATTCTTACTGTTAGAAAGCCTCAAGAGCAGAACCAGACACTGGCATGTAGTTCTTAAAGTAGCCACTCAATCTGGAGGCGTGAGAAGACATCTGGCTGTGGGTCATCATTGCACACAGTCATATGGACCACAGCATCCACAGGGACGTTCATACATACCTGCACAGAAATGGCATAGGAGGTATGTGTTTCTGCTGTGCATTTACAATGCACACCAGCCTTCTCCCTGAACAGCTACAGATTTCTGCTGTACTGACAGATAGGGCATTATATGGCTCAAAGTGAACAGCTGTGGAACCTCCATGCATGGATGAAAATCACTTACCCAGTATTTTACCCCAGCATTGGTCACTTTTAAGATTCAGCTAGACAGAGTGCTGAACCATCTTGTCTAGCCCATGCTTTTGCCTAGAAAGGTTGGACCAGATGATCCTTGAGGTCCCTTCTGACCTGGTATTCCATGATTCTGTGATTCTATGAATATGTTATTCTGTGTTTTCCTTAAGCCCACCATTGCACTTCAGAAGCTAGGCAACTTTATGGTTTGTAGAAGTGAGAAGTGAGAATATTGTGAGTCTTCTCATTCATAGTAAATTCATAGTAAACAAAGAGTTGTAACCAAACCAAATATGGAAAATACCATGTAATTCAAAGCCTACCTGTCAAAGAAGACAACTTTTCTTTTCAGAAATATGTTTTCAATTTTATCTTACTAAATCTCATATTCTTATACTCTCATTCTTATGCTAGGATTTAATTGAGTGATTATGTGAGTGTGATGTGCATGATACCATTGTTCCTATTAAATGTGAGCAGTAATTCTGGAAGTGCATTATACTTCATCTTTTTGAAGACTTTTAAAGCTAGCACTGTTAATGTGAAACAGAATCCTTGGAATAGATGGAAATGGTCAGGCACTGTGGAGCAAACATTTGGAACAAAAGCTTAATTACATGGGTACCAGATTAAGGCATTCTTACAAACAGTTATGGTATTTTTGATGTTGTGATAAAAAACAGAAAGCAAAGAGAAGCCAAACTAACTTAGCCACTCAAGTGTAGCAGTTGATTGATTCTGAAAGTCAACAGGTGAATGTTTTCCATAGTCCCAGCAGGGAGAAAGACTGAATTGAATAGCCAAATTCCTACTGATTTCTTTGGGAGCAGGATCAAGTCTTTACTTCTTGAATAGCTCCTTTTTTTTTTATTTTAATGAGAGTTACGTGACTTAAATCTTGTTTTATGTTTTTGAAGCAATGGGTAAGGTTTAAATCAAATAATAAGTTTCCTAGACTTTTAATATCTTTATTCTTTTTAGTGCTGCTGTTACCTCGGGGTATTTACTTTTGGCTGTTAGTGCAGTGTAGAAGTTGATACTATTGTGAATGGAATTGGCAAGTCTTAAAACAGAATGTTTAGATCATAAACATTTTAAAATAAGACTCCATAAAAAAAGATGTATACTTTTTTAATATGGAATGTTGGTTGTGTTCTTGGCAGGCTTTGCTTCAGAGGAGTCTCATGCCTTTCAAAGAGTATCCTGCTAGCTAGCTGCAGCCAAAAGATTATTTCAAACCAATGGAGACCCAATTCCCTTTTCTCTTGTGCTTTTTCCCTTTCTCTCACTTTCCCTCTCCCCCTCTCTCTTCTGTAGGACTGGCTATATATCACACAACTGATGTATAGTCAGTCATGGGGTGAAAAATTCACACACTAGTATTCACAGCACTGGAAAGCATAGAAACCCTGATGAAAGATGCCAGTACCGGTCTTTACTTTAAGAAGTGCTGTTGAGGATTATTTTCTTCAACACTCCTCAAATTTTCAGACTTCAAAAACCTTTGGCTACTCTTCCAGAGCCGGCAGGACTGCATAAAATATATGGAGAACTGCTTGCATATGCCCTGCACTTACCTGTGGAGTGGCACAGTCATCTTTTTAACAATGACTTGATTCATTGGTGCTGTGTGAAACCAGATATACTTCAGGGGTGTGCAGAAGGTGGTGGGTTTAGGGGATAACTTGTCACAAAAGGCATTAATTGAGCAGTTCTTTATTTATCTCAATGAAATGTTGACTGTTCATTGTGCCACACATTATTTTTGGTTTTCATGCTTATTTGAAATTAATTTTTTGCAAGAATGTTTGCTGTCCTGCTTTAAAGATGTCTTTACAGGACTTCTTTTTATGAAATATGAACTCAGTGTGATAAAAGGTATTGTACAGATGTAGTTGTGCAAGCAGAAGACTTGCACCATGTCAAGAAGATATGGGTGCCAGAGTAGAATCTGTTTGTACTCAACAATGAACATCATTCAGTTATTCCAGAACAGAATTTGACTTTTTTCTTTTTCAATAAAGTGATGGTAGAGCTTTCCCCACCTTGGTTTTGAAGCCCGTTATCACTGTGTGCTCTGCTGGATATGGGCCTGAAATGCCTGCCTGCTTTGGACTGAATGGTGACAATTAAAAGTGTTTTTACTTAGATCACTGGCTGTAGTTTTAACAGTCCTGAGCAAGAAAGTGTTGTGCTCATTGCCATAAAGTATCATTAGAAAAGGTTTTTAGAGCCTTTAGCGGAAAATACATGTGACTGAAGTTTGAAGTGACTGGGGGTAAGAAGTTGGATGAAGAAGGGATTCCTGAAGAGCATATTGTAGTGTACTGACCATGTTTGGAACCGGCAGGGAACCTACCCATTAGAAAACTCAGTTTTTCCTGTATGTAGTGAAATGTTGAACGTTGGTTGATTTTAGGAGCATACATTTTAGCATGCTTCTCCTCTTTCTAAAAAGCAGGGAATAACATAAGGAATTGTTTTTCCACAGGCCCATGTTAATTTCATTCTTTGACTGTCTGGAACTGTGAAGGAAGACTTGCATTACATAGGCCTATAAGGAAATTAACTTTTCGGGATTTATTCATTTCAATTTTTTTTTGCTCAGCCTTTGATTTGCAAACCAGAGAGATTCTACATAGTATTGTACAGAGAAATTGTATCATTACTTTAGAAATTTACTACATTCTCCTTGGGCTAAACTGCAAAGTTTAGTCAATGGAATAGAAAGAATTCTGTTGTTAGGTTAAAAAAAAACCCCAACTCAAACCAACAAACTCAAAAACAACAACCAAAAAACTCAAACCCAAAACTTCTTAGAAGCTGAATTTTTAGATGCTTATCTAGATTGGCAGTAAGTGTCCCAAGTTCAAAGAAAAACATCTGCTAGGTCTTAGTCAAATATTTGACATTCTGAAGATTAGAGATAAGTACCATTCTATAGACAGGGCAAGTCATTGATTTCTGAGCTGTGAGTGGAAAGAATCTAATTCGTGGTTTTTGTTACAGTGTTTCTATGGGCACTTGCTGCAGAATATAATTTAATCCTGCAATTCTCCAGATTTAAATCAGACAAAGTTGCTTTCCTTCTTGTCTTTCCACTCTTTCTCAGTACTTCTTGGTAACATTGCTACTTGTCTGAGTTTCTCTTGTGCTACTTAATCTAACTCACAGGGAATCTTTTTGTTCCTAATTTGTATTACCCTTTAGGTGATGGAATGCCTGAGTAACTGGAATTATCACCACTTATCTGATTTTGAGAATTCAATGAATGGTTCAGATGAATTGTTCAAAAAGAATTGTACTTGCTTACATGGCATACAGTCCTGTTGCATTTCCCACAGGAGTGTAAAAAGAACAAAAAAGAAAATTAATACCCAGCTTCATGTCCTTCTACATATTTGCCTTGCAGATGTGCATGGCTTGAGCTGTTTGTGCTCTTACTAGCCCATATTTATAATGACCGCATAATGGTAGAAAAGAAAGTGGCAAAAAGCAAAAGTCTACCCAGAGCTGAAAACTGATCACCTAATGATTGTAATGTGTGTGAAGTTATTTTTGAGAAAATCTAGGTAAAATTTATATTAAATGCATCAGAAATACTGAGGGCAATTCTTTGGATGAGTCTGCTCATTTGAGTAGTTTGTGAGACTGAGTCCTTGATTATTTTAATAAATAGCCCTTTGAAGCTCTTCATATGAGTATAAAGGGTTAAACAATAAAACAGAAATACATCTTCATGCTTTTGCTTAAAAATAAAAGGGCTGGATTTCAGACAGAGCCGTAAAGCTTTCAGCAAGAATCAGGCAAACACTACAGTAAAATAAAAAGCTGAAATGTGAAGAGTGCGTGATGTGAGATGCCAGCTCAGCACTTTCAGGAGTCATGTACAGATCGCATTGCTCTAGCAGAGGAGACCACCCTCGGAATTGCAGTGAACTGTAGCAGTGACTAGCTGCTTTGCAATGTAGAAGAGTTATATAGGCTGATAGCCCTCCACACAGTTATGTCACCTTGTGGTAGCCTCTCTCAACAGTTCTTCACTCTGGGGAAAACAGATGTTATTTACAAGTACTTCTTGTAGGGGTGAAAAAATCTTCTTACCATACAGATCCCAACTGCACAAGGAAAGGAGAAGAGTGTTCATGCAATAAAAGTTCTTTACTGAGGCTGTTTGTTTTTTCTTTTTTTTTGTATAGGTTCAACGTGGGAGAAAACATTACGGCAGATTGGTTTTGAAAGGTAAGCCATAATTTATTTCCTTTCCAGTGCAAAAAAGAAAAGGAAGAAAAACTGCATGGGAAAATTTGCAGAATTATTTATTTTAGTTGATCAAATGTATCAATGACTTCAGATTTAGAGAGGAATTCATGCAGTATCATGCACATATATGTTCAACTTCTCTGTTTGTGTCCTCTTTTCTTTCCCCAGTCGATCTAAAGCAGTTTATTCGGCATACAAACTTGGGTCATGTGGTTTTTTGCTGGTGACTATGTAGCATGCTAGTATTGAAAAAAGCGACACACCATTTGGGCAAAAGTCTTACTCATGAATGAAAATATTGCCCTCATATTATGTTTTCCATGAAACATATAACCTGTGACATATTAGTTGACAAAAGTAAATGAAGTTGAAAGAGGACCCAAGCTGGCAGAGAGCTATTCAACATCACAGGAAAATTCAATATGCAGCATTCCTCAAGTGCAAGAATTTCTTGCAGACAAACTTAACCACAAGGTCATCATACCAGAAACATATGTCTGTCTTGCAAATTAAACTAGGCCAAGCCCAGTAAAGAGTGATCTGATGTTAGGATTCAGATACTCGATGCCATCTTTATTCTTCTGCAAAGGGTAAGCAGAAGAATCTGCTCTCCACTTGAACAAAATTTTGGATATTAGTGAAAATTACACATGATCAGTTGCTAAGTTGCTTAATCTTTGAAGGATTCTTTTTAACAGGTTTTGCATTTTTTCTCAAATTGCATCTGGTTAAGGTTCCCTGATGAGCCTTTAACTCATCATGACATCATACGTGTCTGAAGAGTACTACAGTAAAATATTGATTCTTTCATCACTCAAATTATTAATTTGTACCTGCTGGTGTTGTTTGTCTTCATCAGAATGAAAAATGAAATAAGTTTTGAGGAGTGCTAGAATGAATTGATACCTTGGGTCTGTGATTTGAAACTGGCAATGATCAATATTTTTCAGCTGAGTTCATTAGAAGTCCTGGGTATTGCAATTTCCAACTTGTGAGATATTTTAAAACTAAAGGAGAACCCACGCTAGCTGTATATATGCAATGTATGTACCACATGAAACTGAGAGAATACTGAATAGTCTGAATTACAGCTCAGAATCCTGCTTGAAGAGGCAAATATGTAAAACAGATTACTGTGCAGATACCATTATTATCACTCTAGTCTGAAAAGCCGAAAGGCTTTCAAATGGCACTTCTGCACCCTGAGAGATTGATTGTCATTCCAGGGTAACTTTATTTGAAGCAGTTAGCACTGATGGGGTTAAAATTTGAATATACTTGGCTTACCATAATTGTGAAAGCAATCATGTTCTCGTATCAGCTTTTTCACAGAACCATAAAACAGGTAAAAAGAAAGATAAAGCCCTTCACAAGGATGGAACATTAGGATTTGGGGTTTTAAAAATAGTAATATTAATTATCTTACCTGCATTATTAACACAAGGTTTTTAATGGCATAAATATATCATAGAATCATAGAATGGCTTGGGTTGAAAGGGACTTTAAAGATTATCTAGTTTCAACCCACCCTGCCATGGCCTGGGACTCCTTTCACTAGATCAGGTTGCTCAGAGTCCCATTCAGCTTGGCCTTGAACACTTCCAGGGATGAGATACCCACAGCTTCTCAAGTTGGTTGACTAAAAGATTAATGAGTAACATATATGTGAAATTCAGTGTTAACTCCTTCAGAGCAACATTTGCTTAATATCATATTTTATAATATTGCTTAAGATTAGCATTTCCTATACCTTAAGGAATAGTTTCCAAAGTAAACAAAGTGATGCACATTCCTGTATGGAATACTGAAGTGCTGGAAGCACATTTCACTTGGAGTCACATTAGAAATCCCAGGTCTGCAGATCTCTCAAGCCTGAAAGTGTATTCTGGGGATCTATCACTGCATGATTTCCCTGATATTACTCTCTTCAGTAGGAATCCCTTTATGGCCACAGATAGAGGCAGGATATTGGGCTACATCTGTGTTAGCTCTGGTCATGTGTTATTAATATCAACTCTATGAAAAGAAGCAGCAACAGCATGTTTCGCTATTTAAAAGCATAGTCTCTGCAAGTTGTTGATTTATGCACACCTGAGTCAGCTGTGAAATAGCAGTAATTTTAAAATGTGTTGCTTGAGCAAGGACATTTTCATTCAGAAGGAAGCAAGATTTTTAGATGCACAAAAGAAAAGACATTCCAAATAATGTCCTAAGGAGGAATAATCTTTGCTTTAAAACTGGAAGATTCATATGAAATCTTCTTCTCAACAGAGTGGATTGAGGAACAGGAGATGTGGACAGTCAGTTTACATTGCAGAAAATTAAGCCCAGATAATTTACAGGTTATGTCATCACTGCTTGTGGCTACATGGTGTTTATTCTGCAATAGTAGAGTGTTTACACTGCTGTTGTCTTCATATCCTGAAAAACATAGTGGCACCAGGAGATCTGACTGTGAGGCTTTTATGTAGTCATTACTTGTGATCTGAAGATGCTGCTTTTCAATGTGAGGGAAATTAAAAATGCTGGAGCTCGAGTAAAGTAGTTTTATATCCAGGAAATGACTGGAGTTAAGAGCTTTTCAATTAAAAGGAGTATATGTGGGTTTGATAGATTTAAATGAAGGTCTTTATGTTATTGAGTGTTTTTTGAGGCATTATAAATAAATGAATTGTAGCATACTATGGTCATCATCACCTCTGTCCAAGATGATCTTGACTGCTGTCCCTGACTGTATTTTCTGCAGAATGTTTTGGAGAAATGTTGAGAATTATTAAAAATATTAGCTTGTATTGTGCTGTCCTACAGTAAACATGGCTTAAAATGCTGAGCATTTGTGATAAATGCATGCCACACAAGCTGTCACCTTAATGGTTTCTTTAATAATCTTTAATAAGCCAAAGAAAGTAGCTTTATGGATAAATAGGATTTTATGGTTTTTTGCAACTGTGGGGATTATTGTTCATTATTGGTACATGTTTAGATGGCATCCACATATTCATAAAAATGTCTGGAAAGCAGTCAGCTCTGTTGTACTTTGTTCCAAATATGATTAAAAATGTATTTCAGAAGGCATTGTTCATCTCACTGGCTTAAGATTTTTTTAGCCACATTCAGGACCCAGTGGAAATCATAGAAGGCTGAAAAAGGCCTCCAAGTTCATCCAGTCCAACTGTTGAGCAAACACCAGCACGTCAACCAAACCACAGCATTAAGTGCCACATCCATTCATTTCTTGAACACTACCAGAGATGGTGACTCCACTGCTTCTCTGGGCCGTCCATTTCAATGCCTAACCACCCTTTCAGTGAAGAAATTCTTCCTGATGTCCAACTTGACCCTTTCCTGACACCAGTTCAGGCCGTTTCCTCTTGTCCTGTCACTTAAGAGGCTCACTCAAAATCTCAAGTGAAATAGTTATGAACAATTAACACTGACTGTGCTTGTTTCCTGGCTGCTTCGGCAATTAAAGACAGTTTAATGCAGAAAGCTGTTAAAATTCAAAAGGAAAGATCAGGTCAGTTATTGAGCTGGTCTTCTCCTGTAATGCAGTCTGTGTATCTTTCCAGCTTATGGCTGGGATGAGGCTTGCAGTGCAGAGTCTGGAAAGAGCCACAGCCAGTGCTGGAGAAATGCACACTGCAGAAAATTAAAACCAAAAGAAGAACTTTGTTAAACATCTAAATTTCTCTAATTTGAGCTACCAGACAATGAAGTTTATGCCCTTGTGTAGTAGATTCAATAGTGATTACAGAAATGCTTTCTGTTACATATTTGTTGATCTATAAATGATCTAATAATTTAAAAACTTTAGATGAATGGTGTTGGACCTCTTAAAACTCTTTGTCCTGCAGTGTTTCCAGACTTCCAGTCTTCCTCTTACTTTGTTTCTTTGAGTTGTAGTTTCTAGTGTGACTAGTAACTACACAGCTACTAACAACACATCTATTCCTTTTTGACATTTGTTCCCATGGTGTTTCTCTTATGTGTGTAATGCTTTACATTATGGTTCCACAAAACAGACTTAAGAATGATTTAATAACTGTTATTATATGTTAAGTAAATACCAACTGTTTTAGAAAATGCATATTTGAAGAATAACAGATGTGTGGTTATTACATTTTTGGCAATATTCAATAAGTATGTTTTTCATAGCAAATAGCTGTTTCAGTGACACACAGAAAGAAACTTCTGAGCACCAGTTTCACAGTAAAATGTAATTATCTTTATAAAAATGAAAGAGTTTTCCATGTTGAAGATCCAATTTTTTTTTTGGTTGATAGCTATTTTTTGGTATGCAATTATGTGTTATTAATTTGAAGTTATATATATGTATTTATACACGTGTGTGTATGTATATATATATATGTGCAAAAGTAGATGACTTCCACTCTACATAATGCTAATAAGACCTAATGCTAATATGTCTCCACCATATTTTGTACAGCAGCAACATCTGTGTAAAAAGTGCAACAATTAGGAACCCAGATTCTGTCTAAAGCAGTGATGAGTGATTAACAGTAAAAGCTGCTCCTGTTAGTAAGGTGCTGTGTATTGAGTTATGGGCTTGTTACGCATTTTTAAAAATCCTTTTATTATTTCTGAAGAATGAAAGGATAGTTGGGGATTAGTAGCTCTCACAATGAAAGGAAAGGGAAAGGAGGTAGGAACAGGGAAGGGAAAAAGACTGCCAAGGAAAGGGGAAAAAGACCTAAAGATTACTATGTCAAGGCTAGACCTTGGACAAGAAGATTGGCTCCTATTAAGATATATCCCAGATCTTCTGTGTACTTCAGTAGCTCCTTCAGCTACTATTCTAAGCACAAAGCAATAAGGAGGACACTGCATTGTTTTTTCCGAAGCAAAATAAATTCAATAGCCCTGCATGCCACAGGTAGGGAGACACAGCTTATCCAGTAGGCGCCAGGAGCAAGTTAGCTGTCATCGCTGAGAGATGCATTTTTGTTCCTATGCTATTC